TGGACGCTGCTTACAGGGGAATAAAGCCTTGGTATGCGAGGCGAAAAGCCCCTGCGTGCTGCCCACAGCAGCATTTCTGCTGAGCGACGCACTTGCGTTAGTTGATGTTTGTGTGTGCCAGAGGTAAGCAGGCGTATCCATATCCCTTCGCACGAGCCTCAGAAGTCTGGGCAGGCAACGCTGATTCGGCCTTGTCTCTCCTTGCCGCTGCCCCTTTTGCTTGGATTTTGGTTTCTTGCTTGTAGATGATACGTTACATGCTTTTGCATGGAGGATGGGGGCAAGACTCCAGTAAGACATTTCTGCGCCTTTTGCGACCATAGGTAGGGCAGGAAGCCCTGCAAATCGTTGCAGGTGAGCTACGTTTAAACTCCTCTTAGAAGGTGCGCTAACATATAACAATACCCGATAACTTTATTTATCGCGAAACTACCGGCTATGTCGGATAACTATTCTGGCTTTGAGGCCAGCCGCTACCACCTCGCATCGCGATAACAGTATGCATGCGCGGATACAGCANGGCAAAAGAGTATAGTGCGGCATTGATGCCTACGGTGCTTCGTGTCGCCGGGCAAGTTGCTGTTGTTGCTCCAGCCTTCCAATGGTATGCAAAAGCGTCCCGCATGCCAACCGTTGTGAGGTATGTGTGGATGCGGACGCGTGTGGTGGCTGCCAAGTGAAGCAGCTTCTCTGTGGTAACCCTGCGTAGCAGACCTGCAAAGCTTTATGCAGCGATGATGCGTGTCACCCTGCACTTGAAAGCAACTGAATGGACACTTAGATGTAAACCACCACGAACAGCATCATTGAGATTGTGGCGTAGTGGCGTGCAAATCCCAGTGTTAGAAAGCTCAACCATACTTTCGGCTTCCGCAACTGGCTTGCCAAAGGTAGCTTCGCCCGCGTAGACGTTTTTCATCAGCACCGAAGACTACGTAGCCTACTGCGCTACTGACAGCCTTTGTTTCTGCATTGAAGTCGGCGACGCCGCAGGCATGGTGTTTGTGGAGTCTGATTAGCTTCCTGTATCTGCGCGGTGTTGACGCGAGATGGCCGCGTCACGCTTGCTTATTGTGCCATGGATAGCTTGTGGAACGGAGGGTAATGCTGGCCGTGAGACGACCCTCAGGCAGAGCTAGTCGTGTGCGCTATAGTTTGTGGCAGCGTGTGTGGGGGCGCCGAATGTGAACTTGCTGAGCATTCTGGAGGCATTCGCTGCTGTGGAAAATCTTCCCGCTGCAACGATGTCGTGCACAATGCCGAGGGAGCAGAGGCAGATGGGGAGCGTTTCTGCGGAACTATCTGGCTTTGACGGCCTGTTGCAGTTGCGCGTTTGCTCTTCAGCTGCATGGGTGCCGTTGATTAGCATGGGCTTTGACGTGTTTCAAGCGGCACGTCGGTGGTATATGAGCGATCCATCACACATAACGAGATGTTTATTTCACAAATGCTTCGGTGCCGCAGCGGGTGCGCTAGTGTTGCGAAACAGTCACGCTGTAGCTGCAACCGTAAGCCAACATGTTTGCACTCGGTGTAAGGCGTGATCACCGGCAGCCACCTGCGCTGAGCGGCTTGAGTGCTTTGACAAGTTTTGTTGCGGAGCCCACTGCAGAGGAAAGGACGTGCAGTGNGCGCTGAGCGGCTTGAGTGCTTTGACAAGTTTTGTTGCGGAGCCCACTGCAGAGGAAAGGACGTGCAGTGTTCGATCTGACTGGCGTCAGCGTTTGCCGGTTGACTGGCGATGAGGATGTTTCGCTCGTACTAATTTAGGCAGGGACTCTGCAGTCTTGTTTGAAACGACGCTTAGTGCGGCATAACCCAGAAGGTGAGCAGAGTCCGACCAAGACACAACTGTGCGACTGGCGTTTGGATACAAGCTCCTAGCGTGCCATGCAAACGCAAACGCTGATTCGGCCTTGTACCTGCACACAGCACCGGTGTTTGAGCTGCGTCGTTTCCTTAGAGCAGATTCTAGCCGTCAGGTCCATGAGCGTGCGGACGGACGTTAGTGGAATGAGCGCGATGTTGTGCGGACGGTGTGTAGCATGTCGTCGATGAGGCGCTACACAGACGGTGCCCACGGTGGCTTCTGTGGCCTGTCTATACAGAGCAGTGGTTTGCGGTACGTTGGGCGATTGCAGCGTATGCCAGCACTGAGCTGGTGGTGTTTGGAATCGGACGTTTGCACGCGGAGGAGCTCGGTCGGTGAGGGGGTTGGTGGGTGTTGTAAGGGAAGTTGCGTTAACAGGAGGCGCTTATGGCGGACCATGTTACCTGTCTAGAGGCCGCTGTGGTTTGCAGTAGGTTGGTATTTTGGAGCAGATGTCAGAACGACGCTCACCAGTTATGGACGTGGGCATTCGCATAAGGAGCGGCAAGTCGCGCCCACAGTGCACGGTATGTATTAGCAGATGCTGGGTAGAAAGACATTTGTCGGGTTTTGTGGTGCGGCCTGTCTGGCCGCACCGGAAGTGTGAGCTATGCTTGCATCCTGGGCAAAATGACAGCGTTGCGGCGGTTACGTAAACAGAAGTGCGTTGGGAAGGCGAACGTCAGTGTCCGTTTAGGGTGTATTGTGCGTGGCAGGAAATGTGGTGTTTCGCAGATGGTGCGCGCGGCGGCCCTCTGGCTTGTATATGCACTTCCATGGTTGCGTTACGTCAGCATTTTGGAGCAGCGGTGACTATTGGCCTTGCTGGGGAAACTCACGGAGATGTGTAGTGAGGAGGACAATGCGCGTTGACGGTGCGTGGTGTGTGGCAGCAGACGCGGTGATTCGCAGCCAGTGGGTGGCGTGGTCTGCTGCGGCCGGTCTGTACACACAGCACCGGTGTTTGCGCTGCGCGCTTCCCTAGAGCAGATTCTATCCGTCAGGCCCATGAACGTGCGGAGGGACGTAAGTGGAATGAGCGCGATGTTGTGCCGACGGTGTGTAGCATGTCGTCGATGTGGCGCTACACAGACGGTGCCCAAGGGGGCTTCTGTGGCCTGTCTATACACACCAGTGGTTTGCGGAACGTTGGGCGATTGCAGCGTATGCCAGCACTACGCTGGTGGTGTTTGGAATCGGACGTTTGCCCGCGGAGGAGCTCGGTCGGTGAGGGGGTTGGTGGGTGTTGTAAGGGAAGTTGCGTTAACAGGAGGCGCGTATGGCGGACAATGTTACCTGTCTAGAGGCCGCTGTGGTTTGCAGTAGGTTGGTATTTTGGAGCAGATGTCAGAACGGCGCTCACCAGTTATGGAAGTGGGCATTTGCACACGGAACCGCAAATCGCGCCCACAGTGCACGGTACGCATTAGGAGATGCTGGGTAGAAAGAAATTTGTCGTGTTTTGTGGTGCGGCCTGTCTTGCCGCACCGGCAGTTTGAGATATGCTTGCATCCTGGGCAAAATGACGGCGTTGCGGCCGTTACGTAAACAGAAGTGCGTTGGGAAGGCGAACGCCACTGTCCGTTTAGGGTGTATTGTGCGTGGCAGGGAATGTGGTGTTTCGCAGATGGTGCGCGCGGCGGCCCTCTGGCTTGTATATGCACTTCCATGGTTGCGTTATGTCAGCATTTTGGAGCAGCGGTGACTATTGGCCTTGCTGGGTAGAGGCGCGGAGATGTGTAGTGAGGAGGACAATGTGCGTTGACGGTGCGTGGTGTGTGGCAGCAGATACGCTGTATCCCAGCTTGTGGGTGGCGTGGTCTGCTGCGGCCGGTCTGTACACACAGCACCGGTGTTTGCGCTGCGCCGTTGCCTTAGAGCAGTTTCTACCCGCCAGGCCCATGAACGTCCGGACGGACGTAAGTGGAATCAGCGCGATGTTGTGCAGACGGTGTGTAGCTTGTGGTCGATGTGGCGCTACACAGACGGTGCGCACGGTGGCTTCTGTGGCCTGTCTATACACACCAGTGGTTTGCGGTACGTTGGGCGATTGCAGCGTATGC